TTTTGAAATTGGCCACATAGCGGTGTATCTGTGAAAGGGACTGTCTTTTTCCTTGCCTCATGGGCATGTGAAGTGCTTTATGTGGATCCGAGTATCCTGCCCAGCATTCTCTGCCACAGCAACACTAAAAGACAGCTATGGAAAGCCTGCTCCTCCTGCAGGCCTTCAGGACCCCAGACCACTTCTAACAGTCTTTAAATGGATTTATGTTTTCACCTGATAACACTTCATGGAAATGTTGCAGTCTGCAGACAACTCAATCTCTCTGTTCTTGTCTTTATAGACTGAACACAGCCAACATTTGGAGAAGTTAGTGCCAATGACAAAACTAGCTCTAGGAATAAATGGTCATGCAGTATTACCAAAATAAAAAAATTGGCCAGGCGTGGTGGCTCACACCTGTAATCCTAGCACTTTGGGAGGCCAAGACTGGTGGATCACCTGAGGTCAGGAGTTCGAGACCAGCCTGGCCAACATGGCGAAACCCCATCTCTATTAAAAATGCAAAAATCAGCTGGGCGTGGTGGCACGTACCTGTAGTCCCAGATACTCGGGAAGCTGAGGCAGGAGAATCACTTGAACCTGTGGGCGGAGGTTGCAGTGAGCCGAGATTGCACCACTGCATTCCAGCATGTGTGACAAAGCAATACTGCATCTCAAAAAATAATAATAATTAAAAATATATATAACTTTCAGAGCCAGAGTTTAAAAAATCCAATTCCTAGTTTTTTTCATCAAACATTTAGATCAGGCTGTATCTTAACCTTCGCATTGATAAGTGCCTTCTGAGAGCAGAGTACACAATTTCTAAAAACCTCATCCAAGAAATCTTCTTCTCTTAAAAGACAAATCCGGGACACAGTCAACTGGATTTTCAGTGAACAAATGTTGGTCTACTACATCAATATTTTCCGGGATGCTTTTTGGCCACATGGGAAGTTGGCACCACCGACCACAATCAGAAGCGAAGAGCAAAGTCAGGAAACAAAACAGAGAGCGCAGCAAAAGCTGCTTGAAAACATTCCAGGTGAGGCCTGGGCTGTTACAGATCATGAGGGAATGTGAATCCCATTGAGGTGATTTTCATTTATGTCTTGCAGGAACCATTTTTTACAATGAAAAAAAAAAAAGGATCATACTCTTTTAAGCCATTTTTTGTCACTTGCTAAGAAGTTATACTGAGAATGTTAACTTGAAAAATGTTTTAGAACAGATAATAAACTTTGTGTTTTGGAAATCCTGCTAAAGTATAGTGTTTTGAGAGCTTAATTTTTAGCAAAACATTAACATTTTAATTATTAAAATTAGTAGTTGCAACATATTAAAACTGTAATTTGTATAAATGCCTTATGTTGAAAAATTCTCTCCTGAAGCATTTGCGAGAACTGACCATTCATGTTTCTCATGCCTCCATGTCTTTATTGACTGAATGTGTATAATGTTATATTCCTTTCACCGCAAAGCTATGCACTGAGCACTTTATCAATAGCAGCATAGAATATAAACTTAATTTTTCAGATATGCTTCAGAGCCTTGTTGGACAGCAAAATGCCCGCCATGGCATAATAAAAATATTCAATGCACTGCAAGAAACAAGAGCCAACAAGCATCTGTTATACGTGAGTGAATTAAAGCCCAGGGGGTTTTCTGCTTCATTTTTGTCTGTTTCTTCATTTGGTTAGAAAAAGCATGTACCCCAGTGGCTGCACGCTCGCATTCTCACAGACTAGTCATTTCCCTTGACTTTTTTTTTTTTTTGAAACAGAGTTTCGCTCTTATCCCCCAGGCTCGGGTGCAGTGGCGTGATCTCAGCTCACTGCAACCTCTGCCTCCTGGGTTCAAGCAATTCTCCTGCCTCAGCCTCCCGAGTAGCTGGGACCACAGGCGTGCACCACCACACCTGGCTAATTTTTGTATTTTTAGTAGAGACAGGGTTTCGCCATGTTGGCCGGGATGGTCGCTAACTCCTGACCTCAGGTGATCTGTCTGCCTCCGCCTCCCAAAGTACTGGGATTACAGGCAGGAGCCACCGTGCCCATCCTCCCTTGACTTTTGATATAACATTGCCGCCTAACTGGTTGGTTTTCTTATTTCAGCAAAGCCAACTGTTTCCCAGTCATCTCTCTGATTATAGTTACCAATATTAAATACTGTTTGAGAGTTACTTGTTTACTGAGATTATTTCAGACCTAAAATTACACTTTTCTCTTAGACGCAGATATTTATTTTGAATAAACCCTTGGAGAAAAACATTTTTCTACTTTTTTCCTTCTTTCTTGGTTCAGGTGCTGATGGAACTGCTGCTAATTGAACTGTGTCCTGAGCTGAGAACTCATTTAGATCAACTTAAAGCTGGCCAAGTTTGAGACTGCACAAATAAACCACCAGAAAAATGTCTGTGTAATAATAGACATGAAACATTTTCCTCTTTTCCACAGAGGGCTTGACTGAGAACCATACTGATTTTTATTTTAGTTACCTCCCTCTAGTTTTATGTGAAATCAGCAGAATCGGGGAGGACGGGACTTACGCTGTGGTAGGCAACAGAAAAAAACTTCTATTGATTTTTATTTAATATAAATACTTTAAAGATCAACATACTGATTGAAATACAGATGTTAATATGTGAGCACCTAGGAAGTATTTTAAATATTTATGAAAATATTTTGTTTTAAAATGAACTATGAATATTGTACAGTTAATTTCCTCACTGAGGATTGTGAACTTTCTTATATTATTTCATGTATATTGAAGAACATTGTTGTGCAATGCTTTGTGTAAAGTTATTGTGAAGATTTTATTGTCTTTATTTTTACCAAAGATTTCCCATAGTTTTAGCATTCAAAGCAATAAAATATAAAAATGAATCTCAGCGCTCTATGATATTTAAGATACTTATATCTCAAAGAGGTTGAAACTCTACAGGCAGTTCAAATATTTATTGAATGCCTTTTTAGAGAAAACGCTATGCACTTAACTACTTCTGCAGGGAAGTAAAAGTTTGCTGCCTTCTCCAGAAACAAAATAAATCTGTGAAAATATATGATTTTTCGTGAGCAGAAAGAGCCAGATTAGTGCTTGAAGTGAGGCATTAGGGAGGAGAGATGGGAGCTGACCCTTGGAGTATGGGCAGGGCGGAGATCGGGGAGCGGAAGGAGGAAGGCAGCTACTTCAGGGGCTCGGTTGTATCATCGAGCCTTTTAGACCACAAGGGCATTAGGGGAGATCCAGAGGACAGACTTCCTGTTACTGATAGTGGGACCATGGACAAGTACTTCATTTTCCTGGGTTTCACCATCTATTATGTGACAACAACATACTTTCCCCTCTCTAATCCCCAAGAATGTTGAAAACAACACAAACAAGTAAAAGGTAAAAATTCAGTTTGAATCCCTGAAACATACTCCCCTAATGCCCCAGTATGTAACCTGTGCCAGTTTATATACGTATAATATACGTATCATACCTGCCAACTTCTTGATAAGAAACAAGTTCTGAAAGATAAATGATTAAAAATTAGTAAACCAAATGTTATCCTTAAGATTTTTTTCATTATAGCTTTTTTATCCTTTTTTCAGACCGTGATATTTGACACTTAAAAAAATACCCAAAGTTGGCTATTGATAAAAATTATCCTTCAAAAGACTACATAGAAAAAAACAGATAAAATACATTCAAGGAAGAGAGGCAAGGTGAAGTTGTCAAGCCCAGAGAACTTATCATAATACAATTATTGGAAATGTCCATTTTAGGCATAATTCTATGCTATCATTTAAACTGTAGCTGTTAAGTTTATATTGCAAATGAGAAAGATCACTATTATTTTGTCTCTATTTATTTATGATAAATTGTCATTTTTCCATGAGATATCAGCTATAAGGAATCTTAGAGAAGGAGTGTGTGTGTGTGTGTGTGTGTAAGAGTCATGATCTGGAAGCCTCAGCTCGAGTTACAGACTCACCGCACTCGCAGGTCAAGGGGTTTACTACTGTCCTCAGCAGTGGTAGTTTGCACGGGCTCACTTGTGCCAGAGCATCAGCTTTATGGTAACTACAGTAAACTGAAATTTTACATTCTGCATTGGATTTATGGAAGACATTTGAGCACAGCATGTTACCGCATATGGCACACGTCAAAGTGTATGATTTCTGAAACCCATCTTTTAATGGCAGTTTAAAAAGTGCTCTTTAGTTAGGGTCGATCTTTTATTATGTTCCTATTTTAAGATTCTTTTTTTTTTTTCTGGAGACGGAATTTCGCTCTTGTCGCCCAGGCTGGAGTGCAATTGCACAATCTCAGCTCACTGCAAGCTCCGCCTCCCGGTTTCAAGCCATTTTCCTGCCTCAGCCTCCTGAGTAGCTGGGACTACACGCCCAGCTAATTTTTGTATTGTCAGTAGAGGAAGGGCTTCACCACGTTGGCCAGGCTCGTCTCGATCCCCTGACCTCAGGTGATCTGCCCGCCTCGGCCTCCCAAAGTGCTGGGATTACAGGCGTGAGCCACCGCACCCAACCCTAAAGATTCTCGGGAGGCTGAGGCAGGAGAATGGCGTGAACCCGGGAGGCGGAGCTTGCAGTGAGCCAAGATCGTGCCACTGCACTCCAGCCTGGGTGACAGACAGACTCCATCTCAAAAAAAAAAAAAAAAAGAATCTTTAGGAACTGGATTAAGTGTGGAGAAGAGAATACTGGTTGGGAATTTGGATCTTCAAGTGGTTGAAGGAATGTTACATGGATGGTATTAAGAGATGAGACAGAAATACGTGACAATTTGAGATATCTCAAACCTGAGTCTGTTGAAATTTCTTCCCTTACGCAAAGACAAAATGAAGTTTCAAGCAATACAGACAAGCCAGAACATAAAACTAGAGCAAATACTTTTCTGCCATTCAACAGTTTAGTGACTGTCACCTCCATATTAACTGCATTTTCCCATGACGAAAAAGAAATCTTCTTTAAATCCACTGTCGGGATGGTTGTGATTTATAAAATAAAGCCACATCATTTAATATGTTTATTTAAAAAGGGATAGTTAAGGTATTTCTGAGACCTGTCTTCGATATGTATATTTGTTTCACAAATGAATAGCCTTGTACAGTCTTAAGCATATGGATCTTACTGTTTTTACTGTCACCTTTTGCCTTCATAGATGTCATCTATATAAGGAAAGCCTTTTGCTAATTTAACAGTATTTAGTTGTAGTTCTTGTAGATGATTTCATTCAGGTTTTTACCACAGGGTTTTAAAAATGTAGAAAATGAGCTGAAGCACAAAGAAACAATTTGCTTTAACTTTCTTATAAATATTTTCAAATAGCAATTGCTTTTTGTTTTATTACACATTCTGCATATGTATATAGCAGTTGTTTTACTCATTACATTAAGATCTTTGAGGGAAGATTTGGAGGGGCAAGATTCCAAAGCAGTGTCTTATAACCCACTTTTTTGAAGTTTATATGTAATAAATTAGCCAATTATTTATGAGCTTTTTAAGAATAGAGGATGTCTCAAAAGGCTTAGTGCAGTTTTAGCTTTAATAACTTCAGAAGTAGAAATGCTACACACACTTATTTAAGTTTAATTCTTTAAATGTCTTTTACCCTTAATTAGTTTCGTAAATTTACATTAAAAAATTTTAAATGACTGAAACAAAATTTAAACATTCAAAATTCACAAAACTAAGAGACAAATATAAAGAATTAAACTTTCAAATGATGGTTTTAAATATGTTTGTATCATTTCTACTTCTGAACTTACTAAAGCTAAACTAAGTCTTTTTGGAGACTTGGTATTTAAGAAAGGAAAAAAGAGACTTGCTGTGTAGAATGGTTTTGATACTTGATATGGTCTAGGCCAGTCTGTAGGGTAAGAGGTGGACCTCTGAGGACTCCTGCAGCAATCTGACCTTGTGTCTAGGTTTCAAGGTGCAAAACTTAACCGCGTACAAATTCAAGAACGAAGTAACATGTCACCTGTAAAATACCCAGGATAGTGTAATTTGCGATGTGCAAAATAACCAGTCATAGCTACTATAAAGATACACACATTGTGCGGTGTTAGCATGGATGATCTTTGTTGAAATACATTGTGGTCTAAATTCTTTGACGAATAAGTAAGGAGTGAAGTTCATCTGCCAGTGCAGGGTTCAGACGACAAGCCTTGAAACCAAAGAGAGTCAGATATTTAGATACATTCTCATTGTTTGGGTCTTTCTTCTTTTTTTTTTTCTTTTTTGATTCGTTTTTAAGAATAGTACAGTAAATTTCAAGGAAATTTGTTAAGATACTTTCTATTCTGATGTCCTACTTTAACCTCTGCAGAATGGATCAATTTGAAAAACATTTTATCAGTGCCAAGAATCAAGGGAACTTAAGCACCAATGATGGCATTGTATGTCATGAATTATTAAGATAAGTAAAATGGAAAGCATTAACATTTGGCCTCAAAGTTGTTATGATCTCAGTATGTGAATAACAGCATCTGTAATAATCTTATTTTAAAATATATAGCTAAAATAGTCTTATGATGTCTAAACAGTGACAAGGTGCATAATTTCTAGACTGGCAACAATGCGGGACAGAGCTCTCATCCAAACCTCACTCTGTGCAGAAATTGTCCCTTCCGTAGCCATGACAGTTGGTCACTAGGTGTTTGCTGTGTGCTTCCAGTAGCAGGAAGTTGCCACCTTTAGAGAAAACCTGTGTTTTTGTTTGTTTCCTGAATTGTTGTGTTAGAAAACTCTCCCTTATTTTAGGCTGGTATTTCTCTCCATGCACTCTAGAATCCTTGAAGGGTCCTAACAGAATACGTAATGCTGGTTTCACAGAAACCTAAGATTCCAGGAAGTTGGAGTCTCCCTGCCTGACGGTGGCAGAGCTGAGAGCAGGCCTGGGTCTGTCACCTCGAGGTCCCAGTTACCATCTTACAGCCTCACCGTCTGCCATAACACGCTGCCTGCCATGGGCTCTGATTCCGCTCCCTCCCCACCTGTTCCCTTCCTGTGGGACACTGCCGGTCCAGTGAAGGCCACTGTCAGGACCCCTCGTGTCCTTTTGCTTTGAGAGAGAAGGTTTCTGTTCTCATATCAAGCCTCATGTGACATCATTCCAGACCCTTCACTGGTTCACTGCCTCTAAATTATCTCCATTTTATCGGTATCCCCAATGGCCCAAACTGACTCCAGTATCCTCGATGCATATCCTAGAGTTCTAGAGTACAGTATCCTAGATGCAGAGTAATGGGGCTATTTTCTCCCATCATATGGAAAATCATTCTCAGATTGGAATCTCTTTTGCTTTTTTTTTTTTTTTTTTTGAGATGGAATCTCACTCTGTTGCCCAGGCTGGAGTGCAGCGGCACAACCTCCGCTCACTGCAACACTCCTCCTCGCAGGTTCAAGCAATTCTCATGCCTCAGCCTCCCGAGTAGCTGGGACCACGGGCACACGCTACCATGATGGGCTAATTTTTGTATTTCTAGTAGAGATGGGATTTTGCCATATTGGACAGGTTGGTCTCAAACTCCTGGCCTCAGGTAATCCTCCCACCTCGGCCTCCCAAAGTGCTGGGATTACAGGCCTGAGCCACCGTACCTGGCCTTGTTTTGCTGCTTTATGCAGGATGACTATATACCATGTTTCAAAATATGTTTGACTAGAGTTTTCTAAGGATATTAAGGATAGGATAGAACCTGAAATCAGCTTGGTTTGGAAATTGGTATAGTACAGAGAGCATTTTTTTTTTGAGACGGAGTCCCAGGCTGGAGTGCAGTGGTGTGATCTTGGCTCACTGCAACCTCTGCTCCCAGGTTCAAGCAATTCTCCTGCCTCAGCCTCCCGAGTAGCTGGGATTACAGGCACACACTACCACACCTGGCTAATTTTATTTTTCAGTAGAGACGGGGTTATTTAGTATTTTTAGTAGACACTGGGTTTCACCATGTTGGCCAGGCTGGTCTCGAACTCCTGACCTCAATGATCTGCCCGCCTCAGCCTCCCAAAGTGCTGGGATTACAGGCATGAGCCACTGTGCCCCGCCAGTACAGAGAGCATTTAAATGAAAAAAGTTAGACAACCGTTTATTCATACGAAGAATGGAGTAGAGGTAAATATCTTAAAGATCAGTTGCATTTGGCTGTGTGCTGTGTGTCTGTGTGTTAATATGGCTTTGATGCTCTGGAAGTTTTAATTTTAAAGTAATTTAGGGTTCCCAAATTTACCTGCCATTGGAATCCCACGGGGAGCTTCAACAAATATGCTTCTGTCTCCTAGAGACCATGATTGAAATTTTCTGAAATAAGGCCTGAACTTTGGAATTTGTAAAAGATCCTCGGGTGATTTTAACATGCAGAGAAGCTAGGGAACCACTGTGGTAATATCAGAGTCAGCCAAGGGACTCAGAATACTGTTCCTTCCCTTGTTCCCCCACTCAGGCTGAATGATCTGTGCACTACAAACACTGCTCTACCAAGTCTGCTATGATGTAATTCTAATTTTGACTCATGGATGTGATGGCCCAGCTTTTTGGTTTTTCTTTAAAAAAAAAAAAATCTAAACTTAGTATTCATAATGATCTCCTTTACCGCCCCCTCCCCCCCACCCCCACAACTACCACAGCCCTTGCTTTTTAGTTCTTAGTAGTTACTTTGAGATGTGAAATGCATTTGGGATCTAAATAAATTGATCACACGGATTAAAATATGAAAGGCTTATTTTCACTGACTACCTCAAGCTCAAGAATATCCCTCCTGAGTGGGGTAGATGTGACGCTCAAAAAAACCTTTAAACCGTATTTCATTACCATACTAGAATGAACACATAGGTTCACACTTTTTCTAGATGAAAGACATAAACTGTTCAGCTTTAAGGTCTTAGTGCTGGGCCTTAGGCCGCAGATAGTAGCAGAATGAAAGAGTAATTTGCATCAAAATAGGGCTTTTAATCATTTGAGCTAAATTATGCTAATAAGAATCTGACAATTGTCTGCAAACAATCTGCATGTCTGACAGCGCCTCTGTAGACAGAGGTTATCTGCACAGTAATTGAGTAGAAGAAACACTAATCCGTAAAACCCTTCAAGTTGCAACTAAAGCCTGGCAGTTTCTCTTTGGGTGAACTGATACTTTGTTCTAACGCTTACTTTAGAATAATAGTGCTTAGCCGTTGCTTCGTCCCTGGTGATGCCCAAGCCGAGCTGGAGACACCTTGCGTGGTAGAAGGATGCCATTGCCATGCCTCTGCTGATGAACTCCGGGAGACAGTCTGTGACCTGGGCAATCATGGGGATGTCGTGCACCTCATCATAGTCAGCAATCCTGAGAGGACGTAGAGTGGCGAAATGGAAAAGGACATCAGTTATGGCGTAAGTGTTTGTAAAACGATGTGCCTAGAAACCGACCTTGTCCCCGAAGTGATTTCTCTCTGCTGCTTTGAGAACTAAGTTGTTTGCTGCGTGGTGAAGGGTTCGTATAGCCAACTCAAACCAGGAGAAGGCGAGCTTACCATAGTGGTGACTTTACATCGTCTCTGTAATTATGCTCAGCAGGCTCAATCACCATTAGAAAACAAAGGTATGTTTCTTTTTTCTTGTCATATTACTCTTGGAAGTTTAATGTCACTTTGTGGATTTAAACTGCGTGGAGAAGAAAGCATTTTCCACTTCTTTGGATCACGTATGGAAACAGCCACCCACCTTCAATTTGGACATTAGCCACATAGGACCAGAAAACCCTTTCACTAGCACGTCTTTAAAAACGGACAAGGGAAAGAAGTCATCCTTTATACCCAGACACAAATACGTAGAATCGTGTGAGCATGCGATCCAGTCACCTCCACATTAACCACAATGTTAATGGAGTAGGAATGTGGGAAATAATGGAAAACGCCAAAGATTTTAAAGAATGATTTAAAGCTTTAGTTCTAACTAAGACGGACACTTGCTTTGAGATATTGGCAGTCACTCCTGTAAGTGGTCTGCTGCCTGGAGCCCGAGACGCCGGGGACACGGGGAGAAGCAGCCCCCCCTCCCCTCATCCTCTTGTAGATCACTGCCCTGCACTAGGGCTCGCAGAGAGGGGAGACCTGGCGCTGTGGGAAGGGTGTGACTGGGAAACACCAGCACACACAGAGTCTGATGGACACTCCAGAGTACACCCAGGCCTGTGTCCCCGACACACTGCTTTTATACACTGGGTAAAGAAGTGTAGGAAAGTACATGGAGCCTTACAGACTCTGGGAAAAGACGTTTTTGTATATTTTATTAGATATAGTCTCAGTCTTTTCACCATATTCTCATGTTCAGTTCTTATGGAGCTATATTTAGTTGTGCAGTTATAGAACTGCATGGCCGAGGAGCGCAGGAAGAAATGAAGACGTGATAAAGGTGTGATATGCCAAGCTGTGTTAAGTACACTATTATGATCCTGCTATAAAGGTATTCTCTTCTTACACATAAAGCAATTGCTTCTTAAGCAACTTGCTTCAGCTAGTAGCACTGAAATCTTGAAGGCTAATGGCATAGAATTGTGCTATCCAGTATGGTAACCACTAGCCATATGAATATTTATGTTAATTAACATTTAAAAGTGTAGTGCTAAGTTGCATTAGACACATTTCAAGTGCTCAGTAGCTACCATTGCTAATACCGCAGAAAGCTCTGTGAAGGATTTGGCATAGAACATTCTTAGGCATTCTTGTCAATGCTTTCATCCAGTTTATTCTAACACTACTGCTAGGGTTTGAAGAAAGTTCCCTCCAAAATCCCAGTGTTGCTAGTGTGATCGTATCAAGAGGTAGGGCCCTCAAGAGGCGATGAGGCCATGAGAGCACCTCCCTCATGAATAGGACGAAAGCCCTTTTTATAAAAGAGGTTTCCTGTAGCTTTCCGCTGTCATGTGAGGACGTGATGGTCCTCCCCTCTGGAGGTTGCAGCCCTCACTAGACAACCACACCTACCTTGATCTTGAACTTCTTGGCCTCTGGAACCGGGGGAAATAAATTTCTGTTTCTTAATACCTAGTGTGTGGTATTCTGTTACAGCAGCACAAAACAGACACAGACATTCACCTTTTAGAAAATGCAACACACTTTGTAAAAAATTTCATCTTATAGTAATACTCCACGAGATTCCCTTGAGCATAGACGTTTCCGCGTTCTGCTGCTTCTCTTAAGCAATGCAGGGCAGCCTCCGTATCCTGCCGGATGCCTTGTCCGTACAAGTACATGAGCCCAAGTGCACCCTGGGACTCCAGATTTCCATTGCCACATGCTTCTGAATGCCAGTAAAATGCCTAAGAAAAGCACAGTTTCATCATTGTATTTATGATCCACTAGATGAAATTATAAGGGAATACTAGACAGAAATCTGTGGCTCCTAGATAGCACTATTAATCATCTCTAGGAAAGAGCTGTAGGCCTTTGGACGCGTTTCACACTAGCACACATGCCTAACGCTGTGTGGAGGGAGTTCCTCTGCCGTCTAATGAGGTCACAGTCCAGACAGCTTATGGCAGAGAAGGACCAGCTGTCCTAGGTTTCAGGATTTGGGGACCTTCCAGAGTAGGGATCAGGAAGGTGCCAAATAGGAACTAAGTGTCTGAAAGGCATGTGGCCAGCAGAGGAGACGAGACTGCTGATGGTGAGGGAGAGTTCAAGCTCCCTGTAGATGCTAGAGATGGCAGCTCCTGCGATCAAAGACAACCCCGATAAACGCTGTATGTAGCCTCAAGCACATTTGCCTCATACTCCGCTACAGTGAATTTGAACTCGTTTACAAAATTCCAGGTGGCTGCTCATCTATCCGAAGATGGCCTTACTTGTTACATGCCTCTTGCAAACTTGCCATTAACTCCTCTCATACAAGTAGGACTCGGCCCCCATTTCCTTCTCCCTATAGGATTTTTTGGGAAACTGTTTCAACCATGGATGAAAGATTGTATTTCTGTGAAAATCTTAGATGGACTTTATTTGTAACTAATTCTTAGTATATTTTATTTATTAGTATCAATTATTTCTCAAGTCACTGCTAATATTCATCTATTCATGATGAAAAGGATTTTGGCCGTAATTTCAGGACTGTTTCTCTTCTTTTAGCTTTGATACTGTAGTATACAAAATACTCTCACATTCATGGTTTCCTTCGATAGAGGTAGGGAAGGGGACATTTATAAATAAAAGGGCTTTGAGATCCTAAAATGTACACTTCCTTTACATTTTAAGGAAATATAAGAGAGATTTAAAACAACATTCCCCACCATTTTCTCAAAAAAAGTAGTGAAACAAATATTAATCTAAATATAACACTGGCATTAAAAAAGAAGGGCATGTCACCTTTTCTAACTCCTTGGGCTCCTTGGTTGAGTAATACAGCCCGAGCATACTTTGAGCCTTCACACTAGCTTTGGGATTTCCATTGTCTGCTGCGAAAAGCCACAGTCTACGAGAAAGCGAGGCATGTTATTCTTGGTTTCAGCATTCCATTCAAACCTAATCTTGTTCCCAGGCAGGATTACCTTTCGGCTTCCTCATTTGATCGTTTAACACCTTTTCCTTCATAATAAGCTCTTCCGAGGTTGTAAGCAGCTGCAAATTTTAAGTGTCTTGCTTTGGGACATGGAGAATCAAGAATTTTCTTCATGTAGTCCACCCCTTTCTCCTTCGACAAAAGAAAGAGCAAAAAAACCCTAGTTTTTAGTTTTACCCAAACTGAATTTCTTTCTCCCAATAAGGCTGTGAAGTGTCCACCCTCTGACATGATGTGTAATACTATGAATCTGTGCCCAGGAGTTACGATTGTCCTGGATCCTGCCGGGCAAGCGATAAGGACAAAAAGAATCTCTAAAAGTACATTTCCTATCCAGGCACTCCCAGGAGCTCTGGGATATAAGAAATTTCCTTCCTTTTACAGCTGCCTGAGTTGATTTAAGTCTCAATATGGGCTTCCTTTTTTCTCTCCTCCCTCCCATCTAATAACCCTTATCCTGAATCAGCACAGTTCTTAGAACTGACTAAAAGGCAAGCATGGCCCGGAACTTCTTTCACATTTATAATTCTTACAATACACTTGTGAGCCCCTAACAATCACCATCTTCCATTCAAGCATACTTTTACTGTGTGCTCATAGTTTGTATCTAATATACAAATCTTACGCATTAATACAACATCTGCTTTGTGGTCACAAGGAAAGCATAGAAGATATTCTAACCACTAGCAGGAACAGATCTGCACCCTCCACCCCCAGATCCATCAGACACAAACCTTCAAACATCACCCAAAAGAAGAAAATAATACTGGACAATCAAATATATTTTGATTTTTGTTTGAGACAGAGTCTTGCTCTGTCACCCAGGCTGGAGTGCAGTGGCATGATCTTGGCTCACTGCAGCCTCCCAGGTAGCTGGGAATACAAGCATGCACCACCATGCCAGGCTAATTTTTGTATTTTTAGTAGGCCCTGGCCAACATGGTGAAATCCTGTCTCTATTAAAAATACAAAAATTAGCCAGGCATGGTGGCAGTGCCTGTAATCCCAGTTACTCTTAAGGCTGAGGCAGGAGAATCACTTGAACCCGGGAAGTGGAGGTTGCAGTGAGCCGAGGTCGTGCCACTGCACTCCAGCCTGGGTGACACAGCGAGACTCTGTCTCAAGAAAAAAAAAAGTATTAAAATATAATTTTAATTGTGTCCAACAATCCACTGACAATGAAATCTTACCCACTGTGACCAAGACACTAACTTACAGAATTTAGAATGGTCCCCAGCCCATCATAGTACATCACTCCTAGCTGGTAAGTTGCTTGATGGTCTTTCTCCTCGATTTCTTCAAACTGTTCTAATGCTTCTTCATACCATCCCTAGAAGCATCCAGAAGATATTGAATTATTTTTATTATGATCTTTAATCCCAAAGGCACCAAGTGGCCAACTGTTTCTGCCTAAGTTAAACACACAGTTAACAAGCAGTGCAGCCACGTTCGAACCCATGCCCCACGCTGACGAAGCACGCTGTCTGCCATGGCGCTCTGCCATCCTCAGAGTGACAGGTGCACAGAGAGCCCTCAGCAAACATTTGTTGCCAGGATAGATGAAGGTGCCGTTGAAAAGTGAGAGAGTAAGTGGGATATAGGTGAACAAATGGTGAAGGACAGTCTGTCCCTTTTCAAGTCTTCCCGGGGAAATCAGTGAAAAACCGAAACTACATTACTGAAGTTGGGGGGACAGCTGGCATAGCCATGCCTCAGTCTACTTCCCAGGTTATCCCAACAAGATGTGGAGAACGAGGGCGATTTCCTCCTATGCTGTCCAGGAACAACTAAGGCCGCCTCTAAGTACTAGATAAAAATCAGGGCTTCAATTATTAATATGAAGATATCTGATAATATAAATATAATTTTTTTTTTGAGAGGGAGTCTCATTCTGTCACCCAGGCTGGAGTGCAGTGGCACAATCTCGGCTCACTGCAACCTCTGCCTCCTGGGTTCAAGCAATTCTCTGCCTCAGTCTCCCAAGTAGCTGGGATTACAGATGTGTACCACCATGCCTGGCTATTTCTTTTTTTTTTTTTTAGTAGAGGCGGGGTTTAGTTATGTTGGAGAGGCTGGTCTCCCAACTCCTGACCTCAGGTGATCCACCTGCCTCGGCCTCCCAAAGCGCTGGGATTACAGGTGTGAGCCACCGCACCCGGCCTGATAATATAATTTGTATTATTAAATATTTTGAGCAAATATATAAAAATTTGATTTTTAATCTATAGTGTGAAATGGATTTTATACTAAAATGACTCCCATAAATGGCTTTCATGACATGGATTTTATGAAGAACGGTCAGGTAACTCCTCAAGCTAGCAGCACTGTATCCCACTGTTAAAGCCACAGCCATAGTCTATGTAATTGGACAGAATTTCCCTAGTATAACACAGTAAGAAACTCTACATGAAATTTTTGTCTCAGGATCTAACAACAGAATTATAGGAAATGAAAACAAATAAACAAAAAATGATACCTCTTCAAAATATAGTTGACCTCTCAGGAAATATGCCAGAGTGTCTCCTTTCAGTATTCTTTTCTTCAAGAGCTGCAATGCCTTATCCACCAAATTAGCATGGCTGTAATGATCTGATTTTTAAAAGGTAAGGAATTCCATTAACCACATAATAGGAATTTTCTCTCCTGAAGTAATGAATCATGTAAAATCCATCTAACACTGTTGACAATATTTCTTTCTAGTACTCATTCCTACAGCTGGCCTCCTTAGCTCAAGGAAGAAATATTACCTGAAAAAAGGGCATGGTCACAGTACCTAACACTGTGCCTTGTATAATGAAGCAATACGGGCCGGGCACGGTGGCTCACGCCTGTAAATCTCAGCACTCTGGGAGGCCAAGGCAGGCAGATCACCTGAGGTTGGGAGTTCAAGACCAGTCTGACCAACGTGGAGAAACCCCGACGCTACCAAAACTACAAAATTGGGGGGTGTGGTGGTGCATGCCTGTAATCCCAGCTACTCGGGAGACTCAGGCAGGCGGAGGCTGCAGTGAGCCAAGATCGCATCCCTGCACTCAAGCCTGGGCAACAAGAGCAAAACTCCATCTCAAAAACAAAAACAAAAAAAGCAATACTTGTGGATTGGTTTCGCACTAACCCTGCTTATGGCCAAGTAGAGCCGTAGCAGTGCAGGGCTCGGTATAAGTCTATGCATTGGTTTGTCTTCAATGGGCAAAGCCGTCTGGAGAGGTGAGTTAAATTCTTAATTTGAGCCTTAATGAGAGCTCCTCTAACCAAATGAGCATTCCATCCCTAATATAATATTTTTAAGGCTATAGGGGAAATCAGGTATTTAAATAATAATTGCAAGTAAAGCATGGCATTGTTCTCTTTAACAAACATGACATCTGGCTTGTGTTTTCTAGAAGCATGTCCTTAAGTCCTGAGAGTAAACTGAAGACCTAACTATCTGTGAGACCTCACTGACGATTTGCTACCAGATAAATGAGCAATTTCACAGATTCTTGTGGGAAAACTCAAAAGGACTGTAATGATTAACCACTTCCTTGAAATCAATCAAACACAGTCTTTCTTGTCTCGTTTGCTCTAGCATACAAAATGAACTGTCAGTGAAAGGATTTTCCAAGGGAAGCTTAAATAGTAAGATTCGTACCAGTCTTTTCCTTTTCCCATTGGAAGGGTTTTTGGTTTTTAGCAGCACATTGAGATATGGAGGCATAAAAGGGGTTCTTGGGCAACTTTTCGCTGGTCAACTTCATCCTTTTTCCACAATGTGTATTCTGTAAGCAAGAATAAAAAATAAGGTGGTAGAAATGTCTTCCTCCAGCAAAATGCAAAAAGAGACTCTATTCCCACCAGGCGCTCATTATGAAAAGCATCCTTCCCTCATCGCCTAGATAGAACACCAACCACCGACTCTAGGACGTGAACATTCTTTCCTAGGACACCAAGACCCTCCCCAGCTGAGACACAGCCATTCTCCATGTCATTTTCCACAGCATGGCATTCACCATGAGCCCCGTTTGCACGTCCTGTCTGGCTACGGGTTTATACATTAAGATGGGTCATGTCGCCCAGCACAAGCATTGCCCCTTAGGGGACCTGTGGCACTGCCCACAGAGACAGCTCTTCTGCACCGGTGCCTTCTGTGCCCTTGTAACTGACACTCATCGGACGATTCCATTTCAAATTAAAGCACGTGTCTATTTTACCTGGGAATACACTTTATTTTAGCTGTATTCGGTTTTATCTTCCTGTCTGTATCGGATTGCCATGTTATAAGATGGATCACAGTTGAATGGTAAATCAGTGTCTTCATATAAAATGTAGAGGTCACCTCATTTGGGGTGAAGGAGTCCAGGTTGGCCTAGGCTGAGGGTAGTGAGACAGCAAACTCAGTTGTTGCTACGCTTTTGTGTTTACTCCTTGGCATTCCACTGTTACGGCTTACCTTCACCAATCAGAAACAAGCTTCCAGCAAAGGTTCCTGATTGGTGGTCAAGAGAAGACATCGAGAGACCCTTAGTGTGATTGGAAAGCTGCGTTTTGTATCATTACACGATGCTCTTTGAGACAGTAAGTTGCTTAAGTGAGAATGAAATGCAGAAAAAAGGAACATTTAGTAGAGGAAAAAACTCACTGAATTCTCTTTGTGATTTTGGAAGAGTCATTTAATCTTTTTAAGAGTCAATTTCCTCATCTTTAGTTTGGACTATAGGTGGTCTGAATTAGAGGATTTTTTAATGTTCCTTTTTAGATATATACAATTCTTGATTATATAATTCCCCAAATCTTATGGCTGCCTTTAGTGAATATAAAATTTCCCAATGAGCTTTACTTAGGGGGAAGCAATATTAGGTAAGGTATTAAGAAGGGATGATGCAGATAGCACTCATTTATGACTGAGAGATTGGATACGGAAGTTTTATTTTCACCGAAGACATTAACTCGATATGCTACTTCTTCAAAAAGGCTAAGAAAAAACTGGGCATATTCAAGAAGGGCATCAGAAATGAAACAAATCAGAAAACAATACCTTACCTTGTTTAAACTCATGTTGCCTTTTGTGGTTAGAAGACTGCGCATGGTTTTTGTTGCTGTAGCTTAAAAGAAGTTTTGGAGACATTTGGAAAACAAAGATTTTTTGAACTCTTATTAAATGCCAAGTATTGACCTTTGTTGTAAGGCTTTCTAGGCAGCTCCGACAAAATTTTATGAAATAAGGTCCATTATGAGACTCATTTAATGTATGGGGAAACCAAGGGACAGTGGGGAAGTTAAGTAACTTGCCCAAGGCCACAGGGCTAGTTAAGAACAGGTAAGCAGAACAGCTGGCATGTCCCAGCACCTGCGCACTTCTCTCTCTCTCTCTCTCTCTCTCTCCCCCCCTCTCTGTCTCTCTCTCTCTCTCTCTCTCTCTCCCTCCCTCCCTCTCAGAGAGGGTCTCACTCTGTCATCCAGGCTAGAGTGCAGTGGTACAATCATAGCTCTCACTGCAGCCTCAACCTTCTGGGCTCACGTGATCCACCCACCTCACCCTCCCAAGTACTTGGGACTCCAGGCATGTGCCATCACATCCAGCTAATTCCTTAAAATTTTTGTAGAGATGGGGTCTCCATGTTATGCAGGCTGGTCTCAAGTTCCTGGGTTCCAGCAATCCTCCTGTCTCAGCTTCCCAGTGTGCTGGGGTTACCGGAGTGAGTCACCGTGCCCAGGCTGCACTTCTTTATTCTATTCTGTCTTTCCAAAAAGCAAAACTCTCCAAAAAGCAAAACTAATATGAGCTTTTAACATAAGTCTCTTGTAAGAGGATAATCCAAAATTTAGTACTTTTTTAATTAGAAAAAATGAACACAAAGAGAAGATTGAAAACAGCAAGAGGATGTATTTATCTCTGCCAAATCTTGGGATTAGGTATAAAATCATTATTTGAAACTTAACAACTCTTTGCATAATATGTTGTAAATTTAGAAAATTCTATAATAGAAATTGTAGACAGTAATTGATAATATAGAATCTGAAAGAAATCTGTGATTTTAAGGGAAAAGCAGGTGGCATGGATGCTAAGGGCACCCTTCTCAGATCGTCTTTCAGAGGTGGTACCCCCTCATCCCCAGCTACTGTGGATGTTGAAAGAAAACAGCTCACAGCTGTTCCTTCTCCATAGCTTTGTCCACAGCCACATAAGTCCCCTCCTCCAGGACACTTTGCTCCCTCTTTCTTGGAGACAGACCACTCCCCGATTAGGAGAGCCCGTCTGCCACGCATCTTGAGCATCTCTGCACATTCTTGCTGGATGTGTCAAGAATGCAAGGCTGGCTCTGCTCTTTACATGGGCCATTCTCAAGGTTGTGTTTGCAGCAAGTAATCTTGAAGAAGAAGGCAATGTCTCCTCACAGACAAACAGCAGGGCTGCTTCTCTAAAGAGCAGTGGATCCCCCAAGGGCAGTGTTCCTCTGTTATAACGCAGCCCACAGAGTGTGCGCGAATCCATAATGGGCCCTCTGTGTCACCTCTGTGGGTACTGGGGGGCAGGGAGAACTGGCTCAAGCATCATGCTGACACTCTGGTTATGGCTTCTGCTATAAGTAAGAAAGTAATCTGTTTCTAATCCAAGAGTCTTGTGTCTTCTGCCAGCATCCATGAAACAGGCTGGCTTGTTAGTGGTTAAGTAGGGTAGAATTGCAGACCCTGTACAGTCCTGACACCCCTTAGCCTCAAGGTGAGATAAATTTGGTAGTGTAATTGTGCTCTGTGAGGTCAGAATGAAGTTAGTTTCTACCTGAGATCCACATTCTTGCTCAGCATGTCTCCTGCGCTGTTCTCCTGAGACCACCCCCTGGTATACACTTGAACAAAAATCCCAATAGGAACTCTGCTTCTGGGGAAGTAAACCTAAGACAATGGACATATGGAGGAAAATATATTTATTCTTATCTTTCTACAGCTGGCATAATAAAGGATAACTCTCCTTCCCATAACATGTTAGATCACATTGTGCCTGGTATGGATGGTCTAGTATGTGAATGTTTTTTGGAGCAGGGAGGGCGCAGCGTTCCAGGAGGTACTGCAATACCATGTCCATGTGTGGGGTTGGAGCAAGCTCCTATTGCATCTCCCTGCTCCAAAAATCCATTTAATCTCTTGTCTTCAGATAGAGGATGGATCAGATATTAAATTGATAAGAACAGATATTATACTTGATCTTGACCAAAAAGTTGAGAAGCAACATTATGTGAAATGTTTGATATTGCGAACAGGACTAAAGTTAGCTGTTACTGAATAATGTTATTGATGAATCACGTTATTGAAAATGCTCAGTGGCAGGAAGGGAAGAATGACCTGAGAGTAGGGATTCCATAGAGAGAAGGAACGATAGATCTGCTTTTCTGACGATTAGCAGCATCAAGCAGAACTACAGACTAGAGCCGCCTCTGAGGGCTGAAAGAAAATGACTATTTCCTCAAAGATTCAGACAAGTTATGACTCCTCTGTGGTTATGATGAGCAGAGATTAGAATCAGAATGGAAGTATCAAGAAATGATTCACTTCTTGAAAACCCATGGAAAAGAGAGAAGTGTTTGGAATAGACCAGGTCCTCATAACTAAAAAGAGGTGCGTACAAGTGAGGAATGATTATGCAAGACTTATCATAATGTTGAAAACTTGTATTTAACTTTTCAAGTTTAAAAAATTGAATGCTGAATAGATACAAACAATTTTCAGATATATAAATAAAGAATGAATAACAACTAGACAATTAACATCCAAGTACCTGTCACTCACTTTCTTGTTTTAGAGATGGAGTCTTGCTCTGTTGCCCAGGCTAGAATGCAAGTGGCGCAATCTCAGCTCACTGCAACCTCTGCCTCCAGGGCTCATACATTCCCCTGCCTCAGCCTCCTGAGTAGCTGGACTACAGGCACATGCCGCCACATCCAGCTAATTTTTTTGTATTTTAGTAGAAACAGGGTTTCATCATGCTGTCGCTCAATTTTTTAAAATCACGTTATCTTCAAGTCTCCTGTACACCCGTGTGATTTCCACCCATTTCCTTCCACACATTTCCACCCATTCCTCCCACCTGCTACCCCTACCCAAGCACCCCTATCCTCCGCACAAGCTGCTTTTGCATATGTTTCTTGGTCATTCATCTTTTCTCTTAAATGTTTAAGTCTTTTTGCCTTTGGGTTGTGTTGTTGATTTGTAGTTCATATTTCAGGCGTGTTTCATAAATCGCATGCATTTAGATTTGTTGATGTGTTGTTTATACCTAAGCTGATAATCTTTGAATATTACCGGAACATTTAGCTCTTTTACATTTATTTTAATTACCACCGAATTGAAATTATTTCTTATTTTGTACTTTCACTCTATCTACCTTATTCACATTTCATTTTTTATTGTATTGTCTTTTTGATGGATTTACTGGGTATTTATTAGATTGACTAGATATTTATTATGTTTGGGGAATTTTGAGCTTCCTGTCTTGGATTGGTGTCTTTTATTAGCTCTCAAACATTCTCAGGGATAATTTGTTTGTGTTAGTTTCCTAGGGCTACTAAAACAAAATATCAAAAACTTTGTGGCTTAAAAGAACAGAAATTGGCCGGGCGCGGTGGCTCAAGCCTGTAATCCCAGCACTTTGGGAGGCCGAGAAGGGCGGATCACGAGGTCAGGAGATGGAGACCATCCTGGCTAACACAATGAAACCCCGTCTCTACTAAAAATACAAAAAACTAGCCGGGCGTGGTGCCGGCGCCTGTAGTCCCAGCTACTCGGGAGGCTGAGGCAGGAGAATGGCGTAAACCCGGGGGGCGGAGCTTGCAGTGAGCTGAGATCCCGCCACTGCACTCCAGCCTGGGCGACAGAGCGAGACTCCGTCTCAAAAAAAAAAAAAAAAAAAAAAAAAAAACAGAAATTTCTTCTCTAACAGTTCTGGAGCCTAGAAGTCCAAAATCAAGGTGTTGGCAGGGCCATGCTTCCTCTGGCCCTAGGAAAAAATCATCCTAAGCATCCCCCACCAGCTTCTAGTGGTTGCTGGTGATGTCTGATGTTCCTAGGCTTGTAGCTGCACAACTCAACCTCTGCCTCTGTGTTTACATGGCCTTCCCTTCGTGTCTCCTCTATCTCTGTGTGTTCTCTCCTCCCTCTTATGAGGACACCAGTCACTGGAGTTGGCACCCACCCTAATCCAACATGACTTCCTCTTAACTTGATTACATGTAAAATATCCTATTTCCAAAGAGGTTCACATTCACATGTTTCAGAAGTTAGGACTCAGGTGTATCTTTGGCTGGAAACACAAGTCAACCCACCATGCTCTTCAGAGGCCCCAGTCTATTTCATTTCTCTCTCCAGCGTTTTGATAAGACCTTCTTCTCATGTCTCTTAAGTTTGCCTTTCAGATTTTCCATCTGTTTTTTTTTCTCTCTGACACACTCTGGGTAATCTCTTCAGTAACCTCTCCCTTTTTATTAATTCTCTCTTTAGCCACATCTAGTCTGCTGTTAAAGCAATCCATTTAAAAACTGTTTACTGAAGTAAATGAAAGATACAGAAATGTATATATAAGTTTACAGCTTGATAAATTTTCACAAGCCAGACACATCCATGTAACTAGCTCTCAGATCAAGAAAGAGATCCTTATCAGCACTTTAGAAGTCCTGTTGTATTCCCCTCTGGTCACTACATGAACTCAAGTGTAAATCCTATATGCACTTGTAATGGCATAAGTTACTTTTTCTTGTTTTTTTATACTATATAAATGGAATCATACAGTGTGTAATATTTTGTGTCTAGCTTCTTTCCCTTAACATTGATTCATCCATTTTGTTGTGTTGTAATTTTTTTTCCTTCATATTGTTGTATTACATGGTGTGAATATATCACAATTTATCTTTTCTACTTGATGGACTTTGGGTAGCTTCTGTTTTGAACTATTAGGAACATTCTTGTGCCTGCTTTTTCCTGAAAATTTGTACATATTTCTGTTGGGGATAAACATTGTAGTAGTAGTTACTGGATCAATGAGTATGCATAGTCAGCTTTTGTAGATACTGCCAAATAGTTTCTAAGTGATTGAGCACAAAATCCCTTTTTAAATTAATTGCTGGTTTAGATTTCTGGTAGTTTGAGTAATTTATGGGAAGACTGCTTGGTTCATTTGAATTCTGAATGTAAAGCATCCATTCAATTAGGCTGACTTATCAGGAGTCCTAGTAAAAAGTTTTCAGTTGTCCTGACTGTGACAAGTATGAGACAGCCTCTAATTCAGGCTGAAGAGTCCTGGCTATTTCCAAAGAGGGACAG